GGAGATTAAGGTGAAGGCGGATAAACCGAGGGTGACACTAGTGACGCTTCGCGGATCCCCACCAGGAGGGAAGTCGCTAAACCGAAGTTTTGGATCAGCATGCGCAGATCCAGGAGTGAACCTCATGAGGTTTCGCGGCCCTGTCGAAAGAGCGAGAGGAAGAGGCAGAGGAGCAGGAGGATGAGGAGGAGGCGGGATGATGAAAAGGAGGAGGAGGAGGAGGAGGACGAGGATGATGAGAGGGAGGAGGAGTAACGAGGGGGGAGCAAGAGAAGGATTATGAGTTTCATGTAACACGTTTTCATTGGATTTCTGGTACACCACAGGCGTGAGGAGGAGGATGGGGGGGATGAACACGAGGAAGAAGAGGAGAGGGAGCTGGAAGCGGAAGAAACGGGGGGATGATGATGAACAGGAGGAGGAGGACGAGGAGGAGGAGGAGGAGGAGGAGGAGGATCAGGGATGAAGAATACGACGTCGGCGATGACGACAACGGACCAACCACAAAGGCCGGTGCCTCATGGCTTATTCTCCCTCTCTCTCTCTCTCGCACGCGTCCCTCCTCCCCGCGTTCTCTCGGTACGTCCACCCGTGATGACGAATCGTGTGCGAGTGCCCCTGGCAGACCGTGGCAGGTGTGCATGATCGCGCGGGAGTGTTTTTCCGGTGTGCGCACGTCCTTCGGTGGTTCTCAGCGGCCGGGTACACCGAGTGGCGGTCATCACGTGAGCCCGCCTACGTATCACACGTTTGAGGCCACGGGCACGGGCGGGCTCCCCCAAGGAGCGCGCACGACTCCGGCGTTCGCTCGCTCGCTCGCTCGCTCGCTCTCTTTCGGGGGGCGTTCTTTCGCAGAGGTGGCGGGCAACGCCATAGTGTACACGAGGCGTTCGGCTGCCGCGCCAATGGGCCAGGGGAGCTCTGCGCCACCGGGTCGCGTCCAAGGGGCCCTCTGCCGCGGCGCTGTCCTTCCGCTGTCGGTGCCAGGCAGGCGTCTGCGGACGCGGACCTTCGCGCTGCGAGCCTCTTCCGCTTGGAGGCAGATCGGAGCCTTCTTGGGGCAGTGCGGGCGGCTGCTGGGGCTATTCTGGGGCTCTCTTTGGACCCTCTCGGGTGGGGGGCCTTCCGGCGCCGTCAAGCAAACGAGGGGGCGGCGCGGATCAGGGTTGTCCCTCTTGGGCCCGAGTGGTCTTATGGTGGGGTCTTTGTGGGGCGCTCTTGGGCCCTCCTGCGGCTGCCTTGGAGCCCGCATGGGCTCCACCAGCTCATCGGCAGCCCGTCTGCAAGACGGCGACAACTACAGTCGGGGCCCTGAAGAAGGAACCCTTTTCGTTGGGGAGGGGCTCCGCGTTCCTTAAGTGTTTCGCAGCTTGCCTCAGGTTTCCCCTAGGTTTTCGATACGAAATCGAAGCTTAACTTATGGAAAAAAGGGGCCTCGTTCCTTATTTTGGGTTCCTTAGGTCAAGGCCCCGACTGTACTGATGTCGTTGGAATGTTGGGAGCCTGTGGATCACTCGGGAGAGTCATCGGGAGGCTATGCGGCCACTTGGGGCAGTCTTGAATCTGTATTGGGGCCGCGTGGGGACATGCTGGAAACCATGTTGAGCCTTTTTAGAGGCCACCTTGGGCTTTTGATCAGTGTGTTTGTGCGTACATATGTATATCCACATGCGTGATGGTTTGTATGTATGCGTGTACGTATGTACGTACGTACGTACGTATGTACGTATGTATGTATATATGTATGTATGTATAGATGTATGCAGGTATGTATGTATGTATATATATATGTATGTACGTATGTATGTCTGTATGTATGCAGGTATGTATGTATGTATGTATGTATGTATGTATGTATGTATGTGTGTAGGTGTTTGTAGGTGTATGCATGTACGTATGTATGTAGGTATGCATGCATGCATGCATGTATGTATATATGCATGTATGTATGCATGTATGTATATGTATATATGTATATACGTACATATGTATATGTATATGTATATGTATATGTATATGTATATGTATATGTATATGTATATGTATATGTATATGTATATGTATATGTATGTATGTATATATGTATGTATGTATGTGTATGTGTGTGTATGCATGCACGTATGTATATGTTTATGTATGTATGCATGTATGTATGTATGTATGTATGTGTTTATGTAGGTATGTGTATACATGCATAACATGTATGTATGCATGCATGCATGTATGCATGTATGTATGTATGCATGCATGTGTGTGCATGTATGTTTGTGTGTATTAATGTATATGTGTATGAACGCATGTATGTATGTATGTTTGTATGTATGTATGTACGCATATATGGATGTACACGTATGTATGTATGTATGTATGGATGGATTGATGTATGTGTGTATGTGTATATGTGTATCTGTGTATGTATGAATGTGTGTATCTATGTACAAATATATATAGGGCCATGTTGGAGCCATCTTGGGTGCTCTACCACCTCACCCACCCGTCCACCACCCACCGCTTCCAGACCCAGGGAAGGGAGTAGGGGGAGGGGTAAAAACCCCTCCCCGAAGGAGACGGAAGGAAGCCTGAAACGGAAACGCCCTGAACCACCTTCGCCCAGAGTGCTGGTTGGGCTTAATCGCGGGCCGGAGGATGACGAGGGAGATCGAGTGTACTGGAGGAAGATGGATGCAGATAGTGTCCGCTAACGAGGTAGGATGAGGACGGCGACGAGGAGTAGTCGGATGACGGAATGGGAGTGATCACGATGACGACGTTGATGGCGACAATGATGGCGTTGATGGTGGTGGTGACGAAAACGAGGAGGACGAGGGAATGATGTTGCTGCTGATGATGATGATACTGATGCTGAGGCTGATGCTGAGGCTGATGCTTTTGCTACTGCTGCTCATGATGATGCTTGTGATGCTGATGATGATGATGCTGCTTGTGATGATGCTGATGACGATGATGCTGGCGATGCTGATGATGATTATGATTGCGATGGTGATGTTGATGCTGCTGCTTCTGATTATGATGCTCGTGGCCATGCTGCGCTTGTGCTGATCATGAGGCTGAGTTTGATGACGATGCTGGTTGTTCTGATGATCGCAATGCCGATGATGGCGCTGATGATGATGGTGATGATGACGATGATGACGATGCTGATACTGGTGATGATGCTGCTGATGATGATGATGGTGCACATCATGACGAAGCTGATGCTGCTGATGATGATGATGTTGCTGGTGTTGACGATGACGTCTATGATGCTGACGATGTTGGTGATGATGATGTTGATGATGATTCTGACGACGATGAGGACGATGATGGCGATGGTGAAGATGATGGTGATGCTGATGGTGATGACGATGGGTATGATGATGATGATGCTGATGATGCTGGCAACGATGATGGCGATGATGAAGACGATGGTGATGTTGACGATGATGATGATGATGATGATGCTGATGATGATGATGATGATGATGATGATGATGATGATGATGATGATGGAGATGAGGATGATGCTGACGATGATGATGCTGGAGATGGTGATGACGATGAGGATAATGATGGTGATGCTGATGATGATGCTGTTGGTGGTGGTGATGATGCTGGTGATGCTGATGACGACGACGACGATGCTGATGATGATGATGCTGGTGGTATCGCTGATCATGATGATGCTGATGATTATGACGACGATGACGATGATGCTGCTGATGATGTTGATGATGCTGATGCTGCTGATGATGATGATGATGACGATGGTGTTCGTGGCGATGATGATGACGAGGAGGAGGAGGCGGAGGCGGAGGAGGAGGTGGAGGAGGAGGAGGAGGAGGAGGAGGAGTAAGAGATGGAGCATCAGTCGAAGTAGCGATGCAAGACGGGGGCAAGATGATGACGTGAACATGGATCTGGCGGAAGGAGGCAGGGAGGAGGGGGGACTATGCAGGAAGGCGGAACTATGGTCGGGGAGTGGGAGAGAGAAATTGGGGAGGGAGGACAGTACGTATGAAAAAGAGGAGGAGGAGGAGGAAGAGGAGTTGGAGGAGGAGGAGGAGGAGGCGGAGGAATGTGGAGCAGGGCAAGGAGGATGATTGGGTCAAGAAGGCCGAGGTGGAGGAGGAGGAGGAGGCGGAGGAGGAGAAGGAGGGGGCTCAGGAGGAGATGGAGGTTTGGGGGGGGGAAAGAAGGGTGGGAGGGTGGAATGTATGGCACGAGGGAGGAAGGGGTGTACATAGGGAGGGAGGGGTGATCATGATGATGCTGCCGATGGTGTTGATGATGTTTATGATGGGGATGAAGACGAGGGGGGGGGAGAAGGAGGAGGCGGTCTAGGTTGACCGGGATGGTGAGGAGTATAGGAAACGAGAAGGATGAGAAGAAGGAGTGCGCTATGCCAATTCGGAAGTTAAAAATGGTTATGATTGTGATGACGATGGTGCTGCTCATGAAGATTGTTGTGGTTGCGATGTTGGTGCCGCTGCTGTTGCTGCTGATGATGAGGCGGAGGATGGCGCGGAGGAAGGAGAGGTTAATGAGCATGGGCCATGGGCTGGAGGAAAGCCTCGATGCGGATGAGGATGATGACCTGATGCTGATGATGAAGATGTTGCTGATGATGATGATGATGATGATGATGATGCTGCCGATGATGATGATGATGATGATGATGATGATGATGATGATGATGATGATGATGATGATGATGATGATGATGATGATGATGATGATGATGATGATGATGATGATTATGATTATGATTATGATGATGACGACAATGCTGAGGAGGAGGGCACGCGCCCCATCGTCGGTCCGAGTCGCAGGTGTCTCGTAGGCCCCGCAAGGCGGCTGTGCTGGACCTCCCCTTCGGGCGCCCCAGTGCAGCTTGAGGATGGCGGAGCAGATAATCTGGATGCTTCGGTGAGGACACGGGCCATGAGGGGGGTGATTCGCACCTGATACTCTGCGGCGGCGATCCTCAGGTGTAAGCTCCGCTGCTTGTTCGTAGGGGCGCTGCTGCTCGTATATAGGACAGCTTTGCTAGTCAGGGTCGACCCCCGTGCCCCCTTCCCCGTCTGGGTTGCGTTTTGGCCATGACTTCAGGAAGATCCAGCCGTGGCGACGAGGTCGCCCCAGGAGGCACAAAAAGACCCCCAGGCGTCCGAAAACCTGGAGCCTCCAAATTCGATCCTCGAATCTCTGGCCACTTCCGTCTAGTAAGACGGCTTTGCTTGTCTGGGCCAGCGCCGTCCCCGACCCCGGCCAGGGTTCACTTAGATCCGATCGATCCGATTCGATGTCGGCTTCGGCTTGCCCGATGCGGCTCGACCTCGAATGCCCCGCGATCCCGTGCAGGCCGATGCTTGCATGGCGCTGTTGTGCATCCTGGCGCGGCCGGTCCGGTTCGATCCCGACTTCGTGCCGAGGCCGGCCCGATCGGATGCAGATTCCGATTCGATCCGGTGTCCCGAAACTCGATGCTGATCGATCTTGCCCTGGCTGCGCAGGTCCGCCTGCAGTCCCGTCCGCGGTCAGAGTGTTGCCCCGTCGCTCCGTGCTCAGCTCAGGGCGCGCAGCTGCCGCGGAGCTCTTGGCCAGCTCCTGAGGCCGCCTTCGGACGTGCACCGTGTTGCTCCAGATGTTGTCGTCATGCTCGTGGATGTCTGGGCCTCACAGCTGGGGTTCGAGCAGGTGGGGTCGAAGGATTACGCCGCATCGCCGATGCATCCGCGATGCGGCTTGGTTTGGAGCACGGATGTCTCCACGTCGACGGCGCGGATGCATCTCCGACGTCGACGATGCACCTTTGACGCATCGTCGACGCATCGTCGATGCATCTGCGATGCATCGGCGATGCGGCGCGATCCTCCGACCCCATCTGCTGGAATCAATTTGGGAGGCCTCTAGAAGGGTGATCCCTGATAGGAGGCACATCGAAGATGAAGTTGGCCTGCGAACATGTCCCCAACGCGAATTTATGACCACCCGATGGCCCTGGGGACCCACAAATGTCCTGGGGGCACCTCAGAACGGTTGTGCGATTGACGGCGGACGCACCACTACATTTCTCGTAGCGGGAGTTATGGTCGTATGCATCCGTTGTAGCTTCCAGTGACATTCAGGGAGCGTCGGATCCCCTTCTGCATTCCAAGGTTGTCATATCCCGCTATTGGCTTGGGTCCAGCGAATCCTGTAGGTATTTCTAGCTAGAGAGATGGCGTTGGGGTCGGATCCCAGAAAAGGTATGGTAGAGTAGTAGGAATACGGCTGTCGAGGCGACGATGCTGGAATGTCGGATCGTGTTGGAGAGGAGCGGAGGGTAGGGGAGATTGCGGTCGACGCGAGGAGGTTCGGACGGAAGCCTGGTCGACGCGAGAGGGGGCGAGAGGGGGAGCAGGAGAAGATGGGGGGTGAATGAGAAGGAGGATTACTTGAAGAAGGGGGGTGGGCGAGTGCAAACATGGATCCAGTTGTCATTTTCATGCATATTCGCCAGATCAGGCGGCATTTGCCTTATGCTTCGGGGTGTCTCACCCGATCATCATCCGATCCGTGGATCTCGCGCGACATGTTCACGGATCCATCATCCATGTCAGCGTGCGCCCGAGAATGGGGGGCGAGTGTTGTGGAGGCGGGAATGCCCATTGTCGGATTGCATTGCAAGCTGCAGGGGATGCGAGACGGGCAGGTCGATTCCGTGCAGGAGCGGCTGGAGAGGCTGACCAAGGACGTGGACGTGCCTCTCCTCCTCTTTGTCCTCATCCCCTTGATCCTCCTCCTCCTCCTCCTCCTCCTCTTTCCCTCCCTCCCTCCCTCCCTCCCTCCCTACCCCTCCTCCCCCTCCTCCTCCTCCTCCTCCTTCTCCTCCTCCTCCTCCTCTTCCTCCTCCCCTGATCCCCCTGATCCTCCTTCTCCCTCCTTCCTCTCCTCCTCCCTTCCTTCTCCTACACCTCTCCGCCGTCCTCCTCCCGATCCTTCTTCTCGCGCCTTGCCGTCGCCTTCTTCATCTGCCCGTGCCATCTCATGCGGTCGGGGCCTGTTGGTCAGCGTGGCTCTCTGCCTCTCCTGGCCCACCATCGGCGTCACCCCAACACATTTCTACTATATGTGCGTCGCCCCCTCAGGGGCGACGCGCGCACCGAGAAATCTTTAGTATATGTGTCGCGGCGGGCGCTCTCTGGCCACACCGCTCGGGAAAGGATATACTACAAGATGGGTATACTATATCTTCGGGTCGGACGCGCGCCTCCAAGGATAATATATAGTACTAGTATATCTTTGTGCGTCCCACACCACGCTTCGACGCGACACGCTATACCACGTCCTGGTCTTCAGGCGTCAACGGCCCGAGCCCCTCGCGGCCACCCGCCCCTTGGGGTGGAGCGACACGCCATCCGCTTGCAAGGCATAGCGTTAAGTCGGGCCTGTCCCTCAACAGGAGGAATATTCAAACGTAGTCAAACAATTGTCGGGGGACAGTTGTTTTGAGCACTTGTTGAACCAAACTTCCCATGTAGGGGGACATGCCCGACCTAGGCACAGCGCGTCGCCAGAGGCTGCCGCCGCGACACGGCGGGCAACACATTTGTGCTGCTGACCGCATCTCCTCTCCGTGCGCCTCGCCGCCCCGCGGGGAGGACTGCCTCCAGGCGCAGCGCGCCGCGGACGAGGTCCGCTCGGACCTGCAGGCGGAGGCCGGCAGGCTGCGCGCGGAGGCTCGGCAGCAGGCCGAGGAGACCCGACGATAGGGGGCCAGATGCGAACCCTACCCCTACCCCCCACGATTTCTGAGGGGGAGGGTGGGGTTCACTTCGCTCGGGAGCTCCCGAACGAAGTGAACCCCACCCTCCCCCTCAGAAATCGTGGGTGGTAGGGGTAGGGTTCGCATCTGGCTCCCTAGACGACGAGCAAACGCCACAATACACACAAACTTTTGGCGCTCCGCGCGGATTTCTTGTCTCCGCGCTGGGCCCCCCCCTGGCGGCGCCTCCGGCGCCGCCCCTGGCGCGCTCCGCGCGCCATGGAGGGTGGCGTCCAGCGCGGATCCAGGAATTCCGCGCGGAGCGCCAAAATACTATGTTCATGCCGTCTATTTCCTTCTAACACAAGAGAACCCCTAAGCCTAATAACACGATTCAGACGTGGCATCCAGCGCATATCCCAGAAATCCGCGCGGAGCGCCAAAAGTTTCTGTGTATGCCGGTTTTTCTTCTAGATGCGGCTCCCGCTCGAGCTGCCCGTCCCGTCGTCGAGATGCACTCGCGGGCGAAAGGCATATTATCCGTATCCGCGGCCTCTCGGGTCGGGCCCCATGGGCCGCGACCCCGCGGGGATACTTCGGCAGCAAGTCATTGAGAGCCTTGTATACCCTCGCAATTCCGTCTTCAGCGTCGATTGACGTCTGGGAGTCGATAAGACAGCGCCGACTTAGCGTCGGTTAGCGTCGATTCAGCGTCTATGAGTGTTGATTGAGCGCCGGTTAGCGTCGAGCCGCAAGAGCCGACAAGATGGTATGGGAGGTTCCCGTGAGTTGTCACCGAAGCGGATGCGGGACGTTCTGTTCGCGGATAACCCGCGCGGAGTGTGCTCGCTTGGACCGCGTGTCCGCGGGATCGCGCCCCAGAGCGGGTACGGATATGTTCGGGCGGGGTGGGGCGAGAGTGAATCCGTTCCAGAGCGTGGCGGGACGCTCTGCGGTGTTTCTGGCAGCAACTCACGGGAGCCTCGTACCGGGGCGAGCGACATGGGTACGGAAAGAATGGGCTCGTCGGGCGGGGCTAGGAAGAGGATCGATCTTTTCCAGTGCGTGGCGGAACGCTCTCAGAGCATTCCGGAACGCTATGAGAAGGACGCGGCGCCCGAGACATCATCCAGAGCCGCCGGATCTCAGAGATTCTCGATTCATCCTCACCCGATTTTATCTTCGTCCTGGCCTCGTCTTAGACATGGGTGCGAAAAGAGTGGGTACGATGCCCAACAGCAGTTCCTGCTCATTTTGAGCGGGGCTCGTTGTCGGCGCCGCCGCGGACGTCGTCCACTTGACACAGAAGCTCGCTTGCTTCGCAGCGCTCGCTGTCGGTGTTGGACAACATTTGTTGTTGGGCATTGTACCGATGTTGTTCCGTACCCATGCCGGGCATCCAATCCAAACCGCATGCCCCCGTAACTCCGTCTTCAAAGTGCGCTCGCGTCGACCAGCGCCTGGTGATCGACGAGAGCGCGCCGACTTGGCGTCGCCGAGCGTCGAGCCTGCGCTCGATCGAGGCGTCGGCTGGCGTTGGTGAGCGTCGACTCGCAGGGGCCAGCAAGAGAGCCCGGGAGGACCCCCCCCCACCGAGTTGCCGCAGAACGGCGCGTGCCCCGTCCTCGCCCCCGCCGCGGGAGGCGGCGCCGGCGTCGAGGGGCCTCGGGCCCGCGCGCACGTCCTCGGCGGCTCGTCCTGCGCGGGCCCTCCGCGTCAGGGCGGGCGAGGGGGTCCCGAGAGCGCCTCGCGCGGCGCGGCCGCAGGGCGGGCCCTGGCCTCGGGGGGCGTCCCCCGGGGGGGGGGGGGGGGCCACGCGCGAGGGGCTCCGCTCTCGGGGGCCGCCCTCCTGGGGGCTGCACGCCGGGGGGGGGGGGGGGGGGGCTGCACGCCGGGGGGCGGGGCGCGGTTCGCCCGCACGCAGCGCCTCTGCCTCGCTCTCGCCCGCGGGCGCGGGTTTTGCTGCGTCTGTGCTTCGAGGGCGAGGGCCGCACTCCCACAGGGTCGAGCTCGAGGTTCGGCCCGTGGGCTTCCGCACCACGGTCTCCCGTCTGGTCTCTCTTCGGTGGGGTCTCGCGTGGTGGTCTCCCGTGCGGGAGGCTGCATCCTGGGTCGACTCGGGTCCTCCTCCTCCTCCTCCTCCTCCTCCTCCTCCTCCTCCTCCTCCTCACCATCACCATCACCATCACCATCACCATCACCATCACCATCACCATCACCATCACCATATCACATCCATCACATCATCATTCATCATCATCATCATCATCATCCTCATCATCATCATCCTCTCATCATCATTCATCATCATCATCATCATCATCACCCACATCATCCTCATCATATCATGCAATCATCATCATCATCATCATCATCATCATCATCATCATCATCATCATCATCATCATCATCATCATCTCCCCCTTTTCCCCCTCCCCGCTTCTTCTCTTCCTCCTCCTCCTCCTGCTCCTCCTCCTCCTCATCCTCCTCCTCCCCCTCCTCCTTTCTCCTTCTCCGCCTCGACCTCTTCTTCCCCTCCTCCTCCGTATCTTCGTCCTCCTTCTCCATATTCTCCCGGTGTTACTCCGACTATCCTCCACCTCCGAATCCCCCTCGAAAACCTCAAACGTCCTGTTTCCCTCCCCTTCTTCCAAAATTGCACTCCGTAGTCTAAAGCCTCCTCCTCACCTCGCCCCCCTTCCTCACCTCCATGCTCTTCCTGCCCTCTCTCTTTCCTCTTTCCCCTCCCCTATTCCTCTCACCTCCTCCTCCTCCTCCTCCTTCTTCCACTCCTCCTCCTCCTCCTCCTCCTCCTCCTCCTCCTCCTCCTCCTCTTCCTCTTCCTCCTTCTCCCACTCCTTCCTCCTCCTCCTCCTCCTCCTCCTCCTCCTGCTCTCCTTCCTCTTCCCCCTTCCCACATCCCTGCGGTATTGGACGACCATCTTCGGTGCTCGGAGCTGCTCAAGTCTGCTGTCCCCCCTCCGCCCCCAACTCAGAGAGTGGAGGGGTGTGCCAGGGGCTCGTCGGGCTGGCCAGGACGAGGAGAACTCAGTTCCAGAGCGTTCCGCAACGCTGTCCGAGCCTTCCGGAACGCTCTGAGAAGGCCGCGTCGCCGCGGCGCCCGAGACATCCTCCAGAGCTCGGTTCACCCTTGCCCCATGTTATCCTCGTCCTGGCTTCGTCTATAGCTCGGAGCGTGCTTCCAGGAGGGGGGGCGCGCGGAGGGATCGTGAGAGCGGGAGGGGGCGCGGGTGCTCGACGATCGGCCCAGCGCGCGCTGGCGGTGCGCCGGCCCTGCCGCATCGGCCGCGGCGGCGCTGCGCCCCCCCCCTCTCTGCCTCCTCCGGCAGGGTCCGCCTCCTCCTCCTCCTCCTCCTCCTCCTCCTCCTCCTCCTCCTCCGCCTCTCCCCCCTCCCTCCTCCCTCCTCCTCCCCTCCTCCTCCTCCTCCTCCTCCTCCTTCCTCCTCCTTCTTCTCGTCCTCTTCCTCCTCCTCCTCCTCCTCCTCCTCCTCCTCCTCCTCCTCAGCACCATCCACCATCACCATCACCATCACCATCATCATCATCATCATCATCATCATCGCATCATCATCATCATCATCAGCATTATCATCAGCATCCTCATCATCATCATCATCATCATCTCATCGCATCATCATCATCATCATCAGCATTATCATCAGCATCCTCATCATCATCCTCATCCTCATCGTCATCATCATCATCCTCATCCTCATCCTCATCCTCATCCTCATCCTCATCCTCATCCCGGCCGCCCCCTCCCCATCCCCCTCCTGGCCCCATCCCCGCCTCCGACGAGGCACGCGTGTGCACTCTCCGCCGTCTCCACGGGAGGGAGAGAGCCTTGCTCGAATTGGCAGAGGCCTTGTCTTACGTCGGGCGTGTCCCTCTACAGGGGGATAACTCAAAAAAGTAAACAATAGTCTGGGGCTATTTTTTTATTTTCCGTTCAAAATCCCACTGTAGGAGGACAGGCCCGACTTAAGCCTTTTCCCCGACCACGGTGGAGCCCCGAAGGCCGGTTTAGCGGCCCAGCAGGTCCTCACTGGCAGGGCTTCGGGATCCTCGGGGTCGGCTGGGGGGACCCGGTCCAAGAAGGGTAGCTAGGCCATGCGATCGCAAACATGGATAAAGTGGGCGTGGATGAGCCACGGGTCCCGTTTCCATAGGAAATCGCGGATTTCTGCCGCCGAGCGAGGCGGCACCGGCCGCATTTTGAAAAGGGCACTTCCCCCGATCCATGGAGTAGGCGACCGCGCGCCAAATCCAGGGATCGCGAATCCACGTTTGCGCGCACCCGACTAGGGTCACCGCGTCCCCAGCTCCTGGCCCTGCTCCTCCCCGTCTAGCCGCCCCCTCCCCAGCCCTCTCCTGCCCAGAACCCCGACGTCGTGTGTTGTGCACGGCGTGGCTCTCCAGAGGTCTGGACCCCTCCCGAGGAGCCAGGAGCAAGGAGGAGGACGCGGAAAGTGCTGTTGGGATGTCGCATCCCCTCTTCCTCCAAAATGTCTGGACCCCCTCACCAGGACCCGTTTTTCATCCCAGGCAGTTTTTTGGACGTTCCCAGGATCCCGCGAGGGCCTCGGTTGAAAATAGCCCACACCTCCCTGCGTGAGTTCTTCAGAGATGTCTGAGTCTGTGTCCCCTATCTCCATCTCCAGGGGCCGTCCAGAACGATTTTGGCAACCCCGGAACGCTCTCGTCTCTTAGCGTTGCCCCTGCACGTGCCCTTCCTTGTTTGGGTCAGATGTATATCCAGGTCCACGGCGTCTCGGACTTTTGGGAAGAGATGCCAACCATCTAGATCATCCCTAGACGCAGGCCCTTCTGTAGAAGCCAGGTTTGATCCATGCCCATTGCGTCTCTGGCTTTCAGGGAACGGAGCCCGCATATCCGAGACGCAGTGGATATGGATATATGATATACGGAGGGGGCGTTCGTTAAGGAATGTGCCCGGGAGGCTTCAGATCCTGGAGCGTTCCTTGTCTGATGAGGGCGACGGTGATGTCCATGGCCAGACCTCATTTGGTGGCTCACCAGCTCCCAGATCTTGGATTTCAGATCCAATGTGTGGTGTTGACCTTCATGGTGCAATTACCCTTTCTCACTGCGAGATGCGAGGACACATATACGGTCCCCATCCGAAGGATCATTGGTAGGTTTGGCTCGGCGATCTTTCGCTCCCATTCACATCCACGGGTTCCTGATTACATGCCCTCACCGCAAGTTCCAGGGTCAACGGATGACATAAAAACGAGCTTTCGGAGGTCCGCAATGATTTCTAGGATCAGGGCTGGGCCCCCTTCCCTGGCGCGCTCCGCGCGCCAGGGGGCTCTAGTGACAATCCAAGCAAACCGGGCGGAGTTCCGACAGTTGTTTTGCTTATGCCATGTTCTTGATACGCCTCAACACTGGCTTCCAGATCCCGGCTTCCTGAGCCGCGGGTTTCTTACCAAATGCCCCACCGAAAGTTCATCCTCCCCCTCCCTCTCCCCCTCCTCCTCCTACCCCTCCTTTTCCTCCTCCCCCCTCCCCCCCTCCTCCTCCTCCTCTCCTCTCTCCTCCTCCTCCTCCTCCCATTCCTCTCTTCCTCCTCCACAATTACTCAATATGAATACTACTCTCCCTCTTCCCTGATGACGTGCTGGGAGTGTTCGCCCCCCCCCCCGCGTCCTGTTTTTTTACACAGGATTCCCGGGAGTTGGGTTTTCGCCTGCATTTTTTTCAAAATGCTGCTCTCGCTGAGGCGCCGGCCTCATTTTCGGGCCCCGCTCGTTCCGAATCGTGCTCCTGCTGCAGCGCTGGCCTCATTCCCGTGCTTCCGCTCGTTCCGAATCGTGCTCTCGCTGCAGCGCTGGCCTCATTTCCGCGCTTCCGCTCGTTTCGACTCGTTCTCCCGCTGCAGCGCTGGCGTCATCTCCCGTGCCATGCCACAGCACACGCGCACACACGCACACACGCACACAGACACACACACACACCAACACACACCAACACACACACACACCAACACACACCAACACACACCAACACACACACACATGCGCGCACGCACGCACGCACGCACGCACGCACGCACACATACACACACAACCCACAACCCATCACCCACAACCCACAACCCACAACCCACAACCCACAGCCCACAGCCCACAGCCCACAGCCCACAGCCCACAACCCACAACCCACAACCCACAACCCACAACCCACAACCCACAACCCACAACCCACAACCCACAACCCACAACCCACAACCCACAACCCACAACCCACAACCCACAACCCACAACAACCACAACAACCACAACCCACAACCCACCCACCAACCCACAACCACAACCCACAACCACACAACCCACAAAACCCACACCCACAACCCACAAACCCAACCCAACCCACAAACCCACAACCCACAACCCAACCACACCCCACAACCCACAACCCACAACCCACACCCAACCCAACCCAACCCACCACAACCCACAAACAAAAACCCACAACCCACAACCCAACCCACACAACCCAACACCCCACCCACAACCTCCACAACCACAACCTACAACCCACAACCACAACCCACAAACCAAACCCACAAACCCACAACCCACAACCACAAACCCACAACCCACAACCCCAACCCCACAACCCAAACCCCACAACCACAACCCACAACCCACAACCCACAACCCACAACCCACAACCCACAACCCACAACCCACAACCAACCACAACCCACAACCCACAACCCACAACCACAACCCAAACCCACCAACCACAAACCACAACCCACAAACCCACAACCCAACCCACCCACCAGCCACACACCACACCCACCACCACCACACACACACACACACCACCACACACACAACACCACCACACCACACCACCACACCACCACCACCACCACCACCACACCACCACCCACCACCACACCCACCACCACCACCCACCACCACCACCCACCACCAACCACCCACCACCACACCACCCACCACCCGCCACAACCACCACCACCACCACCACAACCACAACCACAACCACAACCACAACCACAACCACAACCACAACCACAACCACAACCACAACCACAACCACATCTACGCCGCACGCACGCACGCACGCACGCACGCACGCACGCGCACCACCACCCACTACGCACGCGCGCGCGGAGCCACAGGTCCGCTACGACACGCGTCCGCGGATAGAGAAAATTAGCGCCATGGTAAGGG